CAAAATAGTTGCAGCTTCTAAACTCTACATTAGATGATTATATGATGTCCCAATACAAGATCACTAATCTTCACCAAGAAATATAAAATACTATCTAAAACATAAGAATAGAAATTGCCCAATGTTCCCAATATCACTTGCAATCATCTTACAATACCTCGGCAGGTCTAACCTAAAGATGGGATTAGAAAAGGATTCTATAGGGAATAATATTGAATCAGCTAGGACAAGACTTCCAAAAATAGCCCTAAAGCAGTTCATCCTTTGTAAGTGCTCAACAACCAAGAGATAAATTGAGATGTAGAATATCATGAGAAAGCACTAATGTTTAGAAGATAATTAAGGAAACATTAGTAGACTAGCAATTTTATTTAATTTGATGGAAAAGAAGATAATTCTACAGTGTATTTCAAAAATCTAGTTCCTGTTTACTACTAGAGTATAATTGCTAAAATAAATGCAAGAATACTCTTTCAATATTTTCTTATTTCTTACCGAAGAAGAAAATATCGAGATAAAAATTGTACGCTACTTTCTCAGGTTTTATCAAATTAACGTATCTACTGGAAAAAAAGAAAAAGAAAGAGGAAACTAAGTAGGAAGCACAAATGTGATATTCCAAAATACAACATATTTGAGAAGCTATTTATAAGCAAAGGAACTTACTTTACTATTGCTCTTCGCACTTTCCGAAATTCTGATGTTGTGTTATGGGTTTGTAGACCCACTCAAAAATCATTGCATGATAACAATCCTGTGAATTTAAGTTTAACACGTGAAACTGCCGAAAGAACTGCAAAAAAGGAAACGTGCAAATCCTTTAAAATAATGGAACTATAATCCTGAAAATACAACTTTTCTAAAAATAGAACAAATAGAGAAGTCCTTGCAAATAGAATTGAAAAAGCCTTCACATATCCGTTGTGTTTCATCACTTAGAATTCAGGGGGAAAAGAAAGAAAAATATCCATCATAGAACTGATATAAAACACAACTTTTAGGCATGGAATAGTCATTTTCACTCTTGCACACCAAAAAATAATTCTAGTAACACAATCTTTGGTTAAGATTCTTGTTATACACAGGCTTGACTCACTGAATTTTCACATAGACAGACAAAGGCAATGAGTCTACATGTATAAATAATGATGATAATGATGATGACAGAATAATGATAAGAATTTAGAAGACAAGTTAGCTGTCCATTAAAGAACCTTACAACAGTTCAATAGCACAGTTAGCAGTGTTTTTATAGTTACTGGTAAATGGAGTTGGGCTGCAATTTTACTGCTCTATTTTAGTCAAATTGTCTATGCCAGCTAAATTTGCTCCCAAATCCCAATTGTTTTGTTAAGGTTTTTGTTAGATGAAAACTTACTGCTAATGTGTGTGCTCACACGCATGTAGATGGTCTTCCTTGCATTGGATGAGAACACAAAAATATAATTATTAAAACCCTAATTCTCAATCAATTACTCTGTCAAATAATTAAAAGATGAGCTTTTCTGACTTTTTCTTTTTGGAATAGGAGTGAATAAAGTAGTTTTTGCTAACTCTATCCCGCTAAGTAATTTAATCGATTGGAATAGGAGCATTAGAGTTGAAAAGATTTTCTTCTATAGATCACGAGGTATTATGAAAATGTACAATACAATCAAGTATATCACAATGTCGAATTTAGATGACTAATTCAAAGCCAAACTAAAATGTAAACATGAACTTTATTTAAATTAGCATCCAAATAGTGCAAAGTGAGGCTCCTGTTCAGAAACACTAAGGACAACAAGCACGCCCCTGTACAATCTCAGCCTTCTTCACTGCTAGCAATACTTGCTGCAACAAAAAAACAAATTAATTATGATAATTATGAAGGTGAGTTCTATTGGTACTTCATCTAGCATCAAGCATGCACACACAAACTGAGGTGCACACAAGCTAAAAGGTGAGCATTAACAGAGCTTCCATCGAGATAAAGTTAATTGGTTCTCAGATCGCTCTTCAAAAGCAGCTTGTGCTTTCTGAATATAAGAGAAATATGTGAAACCATTTTTAAGCAAACAATAAACTGTGAAGTCATTGTTCACTAGTACTGAAGGTCTGAAATGTTTGTTTGATGGTTCTCAAAAGTCAACTCAACAAGCCTTTATATTTCACTTCTATGTTAAAACAGGGTCCATGTATTTGGGCTAAATATTCTGGACAAAGTTCGTAGAATGTGTTCTTCAGCATTTCTTTTATTTTTTATTTTTGTGATCAGGACAAGGGAAGTTTATTGATGAAATTGAAATGGTTGCAAAGTAAACACAACAATGTACATCAATAAAAAGAGTTGGCAAGACACCAACAAACAGGAACCAGAAAACCAGAGAGAGAGAGAGAGAGAGAGAGAGAGAGAGATTACATTGACATTGAAGTGCGTTTGCATAATCAGAAGAAGACCCTGGAGGGAGCGGCAGAAGTAGAAGTCTTCAAAGTAGATCTCCCGGTACAGAAACTATAGATATGTGAAAGATGTTCCTCCAACTTCTCAGAGTCAAATCGAACCAAAATTTCTACTGAGACGTTAGCCTCCTCAGGAAACAAAACACAAAGCAACAAGCAGGACTTGGATTCCTCATCCGGCAGGTAATCATAGCTCAACATAAGACTGAATTTCTATGGAATTCTTGAAAATTTTATACCTTCAGTCCACTTCAAATGAAATGTGGTGCCAAGTCGTAGGAATAAAATCAGTGGCATATCTAAAGTGTAGAATTTCCCAATTACATAATAATGTATAAAATAGAATTACCTCTGTTTTGAAATGGATTTGCACAAACTGATTCAAGACCATCCCGTGTAGCGGTATTTTCTCGAAGTAATCAAATACAAGTTCCTTCAGTGTTGGTGTGCTTTGGATCCCGCTGGAAGTAGTGGCAACGGCAGCGAGAATCTTCATTTTGGGCCACTCTCTCACTCTTAGTTGTTCCAAGGATGACCATTCAAAAGGAAAGTCGTCTCCTGTGCAAAAACCACTTAGGCTTTGAAGGTATTCAAGCATGATTACTTGGAGACTTTGAACACCATTTTTACACTTGAATGCTCAAGAAATATGAGAAGCAAAAAGGCCCCGCATCGGTAGAAAAGCAAAAGAAAAGTCTGAGGTCTTGTTTGATATGTTATAGTTTTAGGAGTTTTTTTTTTAATATTCCAAAAAAAGAAACTATTTAGAGAATTGACTTGCTTTTTAACTATTAAAAAAATTAATCTGCTTTTGAAATTATATTTTTCAAATGCAATTTTAAAATTGAAATTGTATTTTCAACATGTAATTTTACCTTAAAATCGCATGTTAAAAATACAATTTCACCATGCCATCATTTTTAACTTGCAATTTTAAGGTGAAATTACATGTTCAAGATGCAATTTCAATTTTAAAATCGCATTTTGAAAATAGGATTTCAAAAAGTAGGTTACTTTCCTAAATAGTTTGAAAAGTATGTCAATTCTCTAATTAGTTTTTTTTTTTTTTTTGAATATTATAAAAAAAAAAACTCATAGTTTTAGTATAAAAGTCAAAAAATTACTTAAAAAATCAAAAAGTCTAAAATTTATATTAAAAAGTTAAAGATTTTATTTTCTCTAAACTTTTTGAACATCTTTTCGTAAAAAATTAAAATGTTATTCTAAATATACTAATTTTTTTTACTTCATATTTTAACCAAAAAATTAAAAAGTTATTAAAATAGTCTGTTCCAAACGAGGCCTTAATATATGTTAGATGGATCCACCCCTATATGTTTAAGCCTTTATGCGGATTCATGTTTGAAATAACGTATATTGATTCTATGTATGGACACTTTGGATTCCCTGACATAAATCAAGGTATTAATTCTTTAGATTCCTTAAGAATAACTTGCCTCAAATGAATTACAATCTCCTCTTAACAAATTCAAACAACAATTCATTGTTATGCTCTGAATTGTTATTAGTCAATCACATTTCAATAAAGAGTAAATTGTAATATATTAATACCATAGATACAAACAAGTATGAAAACAAACATACAATATCGTTAATTGACATAAATAATTTTGGATACAAGCTCCGTTACAATGCAAAGAGAGTAAAATTACACACATTGGGTACTTTTTTTTCCCCTTTATTCACTCTTCACATCTTTAGCACATATTAGGTAAACATACCTTTATTTAGAGTAGTCGTTTTGATATTGCAAAGCAAGACCATTATCTAAAAACACAAATCATAAGAAACATATGCCCTTATACAACGAAATCTGAAGTAAGGTAACCATAAGGAGTAGCTCTTTATGGTTGACAGCTGCAAAAAGAAAAAAAAAAAAAAACTCAATAAGAAACTAGCAGCATATTTCTATTAAGGATAGATATCTATATTTTGCTATATATAATGTTCGTTTTTTGTTTTTTTATTTTCAAAAAAAAAAATTCAAAAACACCATTGTTTTCATTTTTGCACAAAAAATAGTTTTGACATTGCGGAAATAACTTTTTGGTGTTTCTTAAAAAATGAGACAGATTTTAGAAAAAAATTCTTAAATTAGTTTTTGGCAAAAAAATCACTAAACAAGTCTATTTGTTCTGTAATAGCAGATTCCTTTCAGATAAGAATTGTATGGTTTTTGGGTATAGGTTGAGGTAAATCATGAATTGTCCACTTACTTATGAGAGTTATTCTTAATAAATTCATAATCTAGTTCATAATCTAATTAAGCTTCATCCTGTCTTGCCTGAAAGAAGAAGAAAAAAAAAATAGGAAAGATTATGATAGGAAACATTGATAATGACAAAAAAAACAAAGAGAAAAGCATGTTAAAATCCTGATAATATTGTCTATGTGGATGAATATCAAGATATTTAAACAACTTATGCATGATTTCATAGGTTGACAAATCTATCAAGTGTTGTTGAATGGGTCTCAAAGAAAATATGTAGATTTGAAGGCCAATTAATTTTATTTATTCCTTATGTAGTAAAATTTATAATGAAACTCATAGCATTTTTAGATTATCTATTGATTGAATAAAGATCTTACATAGTGTACAAGGACCACACACCCTTTGAGAAAGGTAGCAAGTAAGCATTCTCTCCCTCTTCCACTTTTTCACAAGTATCATCACTCCAAGTCATGGCCTCTATCACTTTTTGATTAATTGAATATAATTTTTGTTTTTTTTTTTGTTTAATGAAATATTTAATATAAATATACAGAGTGTAGCACAATTGACTTAATGACAACTCAATCATTATTAAGCCATTAAGGTAATGCCCTAAGGTCTCGCTTTTGGAATTCAGCAAATTGAAACAAAATAATAATAATAATAATAATAATAATAATAAACAAAAAACAAAAAAGACCTCACTAATCAAAATCTAATATAAAATTTATTAAAAGGCCTAAAAAAACATTCATTATCGAAAGGTCTTTATACTAAAATTTGATAAAAATCTTCCAAATAAAAATCGAACTATTTAAATGACCAAAATAATCTAAATTGAAGTATCAAATAAAAAGTAAATAAACTGTAACAAAAAAAATCACTTAAACATCAATTTTCTGTCATTTTTAACTGTAAAATTACTAATTTAGTTCACATAATCTAACTCATAATTAAGCTAAATCATTTTCGATGGGTAAAATTGCTAATAAGATTTAATCAACTTTAATTTGAATAAAGTAATAGCAAGTAGTGTTTCAATTCTGCGAACTCATACCCTGGACACATTCTTGGTCCTCCTCTGAATGCCACAAAGCAGTACGGAGGGACTTGTGCTTGCTGCTCAAACCGTGTTCAATCGATCTTTGATGGGTTTGGTGTAATAACCCTCACCACTGTTTACCTATTAACCACTGATTACTGCTAAACTGAGACTGATTATGATAAGTAATTGAATCGACTGAAATACTGAACTGATCGATTGAATGTGCTAGCTTACATGCATATCTATCTGTTGATTATTAAATTATCTGTTTATGTTTTATGCTTTAAACTGCAAAGTGAAGGCTTTATCGGCGGCCGAATCTGAAATTGATTAATGATTTATGATCATTAGAATTTATGTGATTTTATGGCATATCTAATTAAAATATGATTTGGTATGTTTAAATTAGATTAATTATTGATAAATTGCAAACTTGGACTTAATCACAACTTTGCCATGCCTAGTGACCCACTAACTAAACACTTTGAGCCTCATACACACTTGACCAAAACATTTTCTTCAGCCATTTCCTTGTTCTAGCCGACTAGAGTGAGGGAGTGAGAGGAATTGAGTTGAACTTGGAGAATTGGCTAGAGAACTTGAAGAATTGAAGTATAGATTACAAATTGAGCTCCCTTATCTTGCATTGGAGACCTAAGGTAGTATAATCACCCTCTTGTTTATGAATTAAGCTTGTTCTTGCATGATTCATGTCAAAATTAGAGGATTGAGTCAAGAATTGGCTTAATGTGTTGAATTGTAGCATAGATCATGCATGCATGCTTTCATTGTTGAAATTTGAGTCGATTTCATGGAAAATTGTTACTTGCATGTCCAAGTTCTAGCTAAGGTTCATGAATTCATCTTGTTTTTGGAACAATTGGCTCGTTAGAACAATTATTTGAAGCTTGAAAGTTGTTTAAAGTCTTGCATGTTCAATTGAAGTTATGTTCTTGAAATTTGGTTTGAAATTGAGTTGAATTGATCTTCCTTTGGGGCTTTGGTTTTATAATTGACCTTTGAAACATGTTGTTCTATGAGTTTACAAATGTTTTCCAGTAAATTAGCCCAAGAGGATCAAAATTCATGTTTTAAAACTTGATTTTGAGCTTGAGGTTCAAATCTGGGAATTCCAGATCTTGAACTCACGCTCGAACGGGGTGACTGGCGCTCGAGCGTGAAATTCATGCTCCCAGTACTTTGCACTGTTTTGAGGTCCGCTCGAGCGGGGTAATTTACGCTCGAGCGAGACCTTGTGTCTTACGCTCGAGCGGCTGTCGAGTGCCCAATCGAGCGTGAATTTCACCTATCCAGCACTTTTGACTATTTTGTAGTACGCTCGAGCGGGTAAGTCTGCGCTCGAGCAGAAATCTTTGTCTGCATGTCCGCTCAAGCGGAGTAATCGACGCTCGAGCGGGACCCCTATTTTATGAAAATCCTAAAAATGCTTTTGAAGTACATCTTTGCATCCTCATCCCATCCTAGGCATTCTTAGGCTTAGTTTAAGGCATCTTAATGAGGATATTGATGTAGAACCACACCGAGTCAAGATAAGGATTAAGTTATATTTTCCCAACTGTATAGCTTAGTGTGTGTTCACTCTGTAACTGTGTAGGGTTGGCATCCAGAGACGCGCTTTAGCTTATCTGTAGCCCAGAACTCTGTGAGTAACAACTGTGTAAAGATATGTTCAAATATGATTATCTTCTAAACAATTGAACTGTACTGTTTTCTGAAATGATACTGTTACTGAATGAATGATGTCCTAATTGTGAACTGTATTGTGGCATCCTTAGCAACCTACTGTTACTGTGTTGTACTGCTACTGTTACAAAGATCTCTGTTGGTTCCCATGTTGGAACCACTACTGTTTACTGATATGATGGCCATCAACTGACTGTTCGGTCTGATAAGACCTACTATACTGTTTTGCTACTGGATGCACCACATATGACTGTAATGACTGAATAACTGATATACTGATTGAAATGATTGTTTTTAATACTGTAAGGACATTCATTCTTAACCTCCTTACGCATTATGTTATTTACTAGGTTTTAGCTCACTGTTTCTATATATATATATATATAGGTGTTCAGGCACCAGATCGGAGCTAGGAGCGTGGGTTAGACTCCCCTTTTTGTCAAGCCAATCACTGTGCCTCACTGCGAGGTTCCGAGCCTGCCAAGCTATGGCTTAGGGGTGTTTTAATTTCCCCCGTCTGTCTCTGTATCTGTTTTATAATGTTGTATAGACTGATAGCACTGTACTGTACTGTTTCAATAGGGATTATGTCCCTGTCCTGAATGATTGTAAATGTCGTACATACTGTTTTGCACTGATGGTATATATGTATGAAAAGTCTTTTTGCATACAGACTGTCACAGCTCATTGGACATTGTTCATTTTTTGTTTTG